CAAAACCCCAAAACCCCAAAACCCCGAGCAACAAATATTGTAAAAATAGTGAGTTTAGATTCTAAAATGAAATGGAAAATGGTTTTCATAAAATTTTGAATCAAATACTTAAGTTATTATCTCATTTACGGCTACCTAAAATGGCATTAATCTGCTAGTTAAAGCTATTATTCTAGAACTTTTCCATGTAATTCATACATTATTCAATAAGATTTTGATCTTCAATCATTGGAAGATCATTACAGATGTCATTGCAAACGTGCTTCATCATCCAATTTACTGTTCCAATTTAGCCCCAGTCTATTAGACCTAACTAATTTCCAACTGTTGAAAACACAATAGCCCCAATTAAATTGAAATGACCTTTTTCAATTTACCATCCTTTGACATCAGTTATCATGAATCTATTTCCAGTGGCTGCATATGTCCAATGAGTAAATGCATTTGGCAATTTTGCCTCCCCAAATATCTCATCAATAACTTTAAGCTCCTATTTTGGCCTGTTAAAGTTTTGGAATTTCTAGTCAGTTTCCTAAAAATTTTCCATTTTATAAATGTTCTGATTATCTGAAACTTCGAACATAGGAAGCAAAATATATGGCTAAATGTAGTTCATGCTATAAGTATCTTCTGGATATATTTTATTAAGCAATCTATTAAAATTTTCAGCAAGAGTTTTAGCCAAGTACTGTTTAGCAATATTATTAGGAATTTAATGTATATGCTTTCTTCTTATTTTGTTTTTGATTGCCCAATGCACTTCAGGATCAAGATTGATTTCTCTAAAAGTTTGTTATTAATCAGGGCTTCTTATATCAGCAAATCTTCTAGTTTAATTACATTGCTTAACCTAAAAGAAATATCCCTGAGCAAACTTCATACTATCAACATAAAGTTCAATATTTTCTTTTTTCTTGAATTCCAAACTGTTCTCATCTAGATAATAAACTTCAAACCATTTGTAATCTCTTCCTTTGCGTCTCATAATTGAGCTTCTTGCTCTCTCACTATCACAAAATGCTTTTCGATATATACCTCTAATGTAATCAATATTGTTAGTTACATCACTTTTCTTTGAATTATTTAAGATGATTGAGATGAGTTCTGATTTTGACATATATTGAATTTTTTAGAAGCAAAGATAGCAGATCAAGAAATTACACTTTTCACATGTATAATAGTTAATTTGAACATCACTTGTACAAAGTGAACATTTTTAAGATTAATCTTATTTCTTATCTTATTTGATTAGCTCATTTTAGCATTTACAAGGTATGTTTTCTTAAGTAAGCTTTAGATATTCAGGGCACTTATCAGTTAATGCGTAAGCAATGTTGCTGACATTCTGAAATAGTTAAGATAGTTTTATTTAATAACTTACTCTAATGACAAAATCTCCTTCGTTATTTGCAGATTCCCTATCTTTGGTATACTTCCATTTTCCCACTAATGTTCCATCTTGCATTAAATGTCCTTCAATAATCTTATCTTAATCTTTTTCTGAGATATACAATTGTTCTATCTTGAATTAATCCTCCTTAATTTAACCGATGAATTCGAACTCTCCTTATTCTTCATCCTTGCCTTTGCCCTGGAATTGATCACCTGATTTACCAAATTAATCTAATTATTATGAGCGTGTTGATGTATCATTTTAAAAGCAATACTCATATATCCACTCAGATGCTTCATTTGTTTGTTAACCTGAGGAATTTTATATCAAATCATTTGAACTCTCCATTGTTGAGACTAAAATTGATCAATTTATAAATATTAGTATTTTGCAACAAAAATTATTTAATTTCTACTTTAATATTCAGATATATTGTTATCTTGTACAACATGGGGTTTTGGGGTTTTGGGG